GCACCCTTGTTCAGGCGCGCTGCGCGCGTCACGGCCTCGTGCTCGGTGATGTTCTGCGTCGCCGCCACGCAGTGCGAGCACGTGTACAGCTTGCATTGGCCTTGAACACCCTTCCGCAGCTCGGGGCATTGCGGGTTGCGCTCTGAAGCCTCGGCGTAGCGGCGCATCTCACCACAGCTGAGCTCGCCCACGTACTCCACCACCATGATCTTCCAGTCATCCAGCGCTGAGCACACCCGACACCAGCCCAGGCGCTGCGGCGGGACCCAGTACGCACCCATGCAGTGGACGTAGCCCGCCTCGGCGTAGTCCTCGCCCGCCATCATCTCGGCGTCCTCGAGCGCGGCAGCCGTGCCGCCGCTCGGCGGGGGGGCTTTGCCGTAGGCGGCCTTGTTGCTGCGACGGCGGTGGCGTTTGCCGCCATGCCCGCTGAGGGCGCCCGCGGTCGCTGCACTCGGGGCCTCACTGGCGGTTTCATCGTCCATGGAGCGGCCGCCATCGGCGTCGCTGCGCGCACCTCGGCCACCGCGGCCGCTCACGGCCTGTTCCCGCAGCTGGAGGTTGTGGAGCGCGAGGGTGATCGCGTCCAACCCGCGGCGCTGCTCCGTGGTGAAGTTGGAGTAGGTGGCCGCCGCTGCCAGGGCAGCCCTCGTCACTGGCACCAGCGCCGACGTGGGCATCGCGGAGGCCTCAGCAGGCGCCTCGGCCGCCGCCGTGGGGCCTCCGTCCGAGGCACCTTCAGAGGCAGCGGCGCTGGGGGCGGCCCCCGTACCGCTGCCTCCGTCGGCGCCCTCGGCAGGCGTCACTGGTCCCGTGGGCAGTGTCGGCGCCGTCCGAAAGGTCGCCGCCTCAGACATCACGTCGAAACCCTCGTCCGAGACATCTTCGCTCTCCGACGCGCTCACCTGCTGGCCTGGGCGCTGCGCAGGCCCCGCTTTGGGAGTGGGCGCGTCGGCCGCGGTCGCACCGCTGGCCTTCGCGCGCGCCTCGGCCTTCGCCTTAGCCTTCGCCGCCAACGCTTCGCGAAGAGGCGCCGCATCGTGACTGG